AATTTTTCCATCTTAGAATTTTCCCAAATCCTGGGATTTATGCAGCTCATATGCAAATAATATTGACTGGTCTACTCCAGGTAAAGCAAGATAAGGATATATGGCTTATGTCCCTCAAAGGTCACAGTCTCAGTGAGAAGGGTCAAAAAAATGAATGGTTGCTGTAACATAAAAAAAAAAAAGACCCCCATTATTGGTTATCTTCAGACAGTTTAGCAAGTGGGCCAGCAATCTCTGATTGTGTAAAAGCAGAATTTGTGAAGTGGCTGCTGCTACTACGCCAATAAAACAAGGAAGCAATTTGAGTAGTTTTAAGAAATGGAAAAGAGCAAAGGCAGGAAAAGGTAGCCTCGATTATATAACTCTGCTTCTGAAGGTATTAAAAAGAAACCATTAACTGTAAAATTGCATAATAATGGAAAACCTTTTATAGAGCACAAAACCTAGAAGGCATTATCAAGAAAGTAAACTGCCCTGGCCAGTGAGCTCAATGGTTAGAGCATCCGCTGTGCACCACAGGGCCCAGGGTTTGATTCCCCGTTAAGGGCACATACCTGAGCTGCCCCTTCCCTCCCGGCCCAGCGGGGGCACATGCGGGAGGCAACCAATCAATGTGTCTCTCTCATATCAATGTTTCTCTCTCTCTGTGTTTCCCCTCCCTCCCTTCCACTCTCTAAAAAAAAAAAAATCAATGGAAAAATATCCTCGGGTGAGGATTAACAACAAAGAAAGAAGGTAAACCATTTTACCTGAAAAAAATAAAGAAATTAGAGAAAAAGTCGAAGGTCCTCGTCTATAGTTCTACAGAATAGGGAATTTTTTTAAAAAAGGTAACAGATCCTTACACCATATGCAAGATAGATTAACACTAAAATTTGGTATCACTTAAGTATTAGAAGAAAAAATATATATACATATATATATGAATGGCACAAAGCCCTAAAACTATCAAAGAAAAAGTCATAGATACAACCTCCCCAAAAGTTAAAATATTAGCAAGAGATCAAAATATTTAACAAGCCCTAGCCAGTTTTGCCCAGTGGTTAGAGTGTCAGCCTGCAGACTGAAGGGACCTGGGTTCGATTCTGGTCAAGGACAAGTACCTTAGTTGTAGGCTTAAACCCTGGCCCTGGTTGGGGTGCATGTGAGAGGCAATCAATCGATGTGTCTGACATCGATGTTTCTCTCTCTCTCTCTCTCTCTCTTCCCCTTGACTCTCTGAAAAGCAATGGAAAAAATGTCCTTAGGTGAGGATTAAAAAATAAAAATAAAATTTAACAAAAGGTTGAGATTCATAACAAGGTGTTTGTACAAATCAAAGGGAAAAAGACAAGCAAACAACAGGAAAATAAAGGATCAGAACAGACAATTCACAGAATATAATGGCAAAAAAGAAAAAGACTCGACCCCCC